ATTTTATTTTATTTCTCAACGTTGGTTTGCAGTTGAAAAAGATGATGAAAAAGTGAATTAAATTATTTATTTGAAATAATTTTAGTTTTTTTTTAAATAGATTGAACGTATTTTATTTGTAGCTGGTGAAGTTGAAAAAAAAGAATTTTCATATATATTATCAAAAAAGGCTTATCATAGTATTTCCGATGGTCATTTATGGTTTTCAATATTTTCTCGTCCACCATCAAATCAATTTACACGTGTTCAACGATGTACATGTTGTTTTGTTTTATTTTTTATTTCAATGTTTTTAAATATAATGTATTATGATTTATCAACAGAAGCTAAAACAAATAATTCAACAAATACTGCTAGTTTATCTTTTGGTTCTTTTTATCTTAATTCTCAACAAGTAATTATTGGTATAGTTGTTGAATTATTTGCATTAATTCCAAGTCTTTTACTTGTACAATTATTTCGACGTCTTCAGTCTCGTAAAAAACAGATTTCACCATTACATCAAACATTGTATAAAATCAAACCAGATTTAAATATCAATGAGGAAAAAATTAAAAAGAAATTTTCATTATCATTTCCTTGGTGGTGTATATTTGTTGCATATGGACTTTGTATAATATTAGTTAGTCTTTCAATTATTTTTATAATTGCTCGTGGGATTGAATTTGGTGATGATAAAACACAAAAATGGTTAATATCAATTCTAAGCGGGTTTTTTTCTTCGATCATTTTTACACAACCATTAAAAATAATAGGTTTAGCAATATTCTTTGCTTTTTTTTGTCGAAATTCAAGTGATGATAAAGAAGCAAATGAATATTTGGATAATAATCAACTTGCTTTAGATAATGATGAAGAACATCTTCATTCAGTTAAGGTTAGTCTATTATTATTATTTACATTAAATAATAAATAAAGATATGATTGTAGAAGAAATCTATATTTACTTATCGTCAACCGATTCGTGTCGATCGTTTAAATGAAACTGAAATAAACCATGCTCGTAA